TCAACGAATTTTTAAATAAATTTTTATGACTTACAACTTAAGAATCATTAAATTTACAACTGAATAAGAAATTCAATAATACAAAGTGACCAATTAGGATATTGTGACGTTGATATTTTTATTTATTTATTAAAATTATAATGATAAAATCAAAATTCGAATTTAAAATCACGTGCATAAAGATGATAATGGAACGAGATAAATGTAGATTTCAATATCTCATCCCTGAATTCGTATTTTATACATACATTTTCATCCCCATACATAATGAATATTGAATTTATGTTTCATTTCTGTATTTGTCAGATATCGGATATACTTATATCTGTTTTGTATTTGTTTAGAAATTAATTAATTTTTTATTTGCCAAAATATTTAAGAAAAATTAACACAAAGTAACAATTAAAAAATTACATTAATTATGTTTCATTTAATATAAATTTAAAATAAAATAAAAATTACTTAAATACAAAGTATATCCTTAAAAAAATTAAATTAAATTTTTACAAATTTAAAGCGGGGATGAATATATGACAAGTAAGTATCTGCCTATCCACACTCTTCTTCCCATCTTTAGTTTAATAAATTAAATATTATTTATATTTGTGCCCATGTTTAGTTAAACAAGATGTTATTTGACAAAGTTTGGGATGATTTCAACATTACTTGCAAATACAATTTTTTTTCATTCTTATGCATACTACTTTAACTTCTCACCACTAAATTAACTCTAACAATCTACTGTAACTCTAATATTGGTATTACTAATTAGTGTCTTAAATATATTAGTTAAAAGTTAATTAAAAAGTTCTATTAAAGAATATGTTAAGATTACATTAAAAATAAGGGTAAAGTAAATTATTAATGTTTTAATCATAAAACTATATTTATATTAATGTTTTTTAACACTTTCCTTTAAGATAGTGCTGGTGGAAATTGAAATACCAGTGTAATAAGTTGGGAAATGAATAATGATAATAATTTTAAATTTTCTCGAGTATCGTCTTAATAATTTTCAATATTAAATAAAAATATTTAATATTTTATAAAAACTATAAAAATTAGATTTCACTATCCATTATGTTATGTTAAGGAGAATAATTAAAGAAATAATATAGAAAATGTTTTTAATAAAAATTATGCTAAAAATATTTTTATAATGTTAACCTTTTAGCTTTTAAGAGAAAATATTTTGTGCACTAACAGTGTAAAAAAGTCTGTCAATAGCCTGGTCTAATGGCAACTATTTGCATTTTAATTGGTTTGTATTTTTTGTTGTTGTTACTTATAAGGAAAATTTATTGAAAGTCTTTTTTATAAGTGATAGGATTTTTTTTTTTACAAAAAAAAGTGATAGGATTAAAATAATACACCAATTAAGTTTTTTTTTTAATTTTAAAAAACAAATTAAGTTATGCCTGAAACGTACGAAACTATTTTGTTGAAATAATATATAGTGCTTAATTAAATTAAGAATTGGCATTACAAGTGTTTGTGTCAAAGTCCTTAGAATGCACTCGCAAACATGATATACTAACCCATAGTTCTGCGTATTTTAATTTTCTCGCTTACTAATCTGATGCCATGTGGTACGTGGCCGGCGCTAAGGTGTTTTGGTAAAAGTGTTGGAGACAAAAATTACTATTAATCTATACTAATTAATATATATATATATATATATTCATTTTAATAATCATTTTAATCTTTATATGTGAAAGATTATTATATTTTTATTAAAAATATTAAAACTTAATATTTTATTAAGCTCGAAATTTTAAAATTTTAAAACAGACTATAATATCAATTAAATAAATATATTTTTATTACTTATTATTGTTTTTTATTTTATTTTAATAGAGACACCATTAAAATAATATGAGTATTAGTGTGTAAAATTAATTATGAAGTTATTTCTGTTTGTAAATTTTTCGTTCTAAAAAATGATTAATGAATAAGTATAAAATATTTAATCCAACGTAAAAATCATCTAAACATACTTTAACTCAAACAATTTTACACATTAAAAAATGGATTTGGTGCAGAATCATCGTATACGGAATGCAATTTTATTTTTTTCACTGAAAATTATGTAATATTTACAATCGGAAAATTTGTTTTCTATTTTTTTTAACAACAAAATAATTGTTTTCTATTAAGAGTATAATCATTTTTCCATTTATTATATAAAAGTGCATATGAATTATGAAGCAAACTCTCGAAAAGTTTTTTTTCCACATTAATATTTTTAAACTTTACCTTAAACTAATTTAATTTGTAAAATACATTGTAACGTGAGTCAAAGATAACAATACGAGTAAACAATATTTTTTTATTATTTAAACTATAATATAAGTGAATATCAATTTTATTTAATGCTATTAATTTAAAAATATATCTAATATACTAAATAAAAAGTTTTTTACAATAAATAAGAATACAAAATTTTCCCTTCAAAAAAAAAATACAAATATTTTAATAAATATAATACATATTTTTATATGAAATCCAAAAGGTTAAATGTATTTAAATAATTTTTTTATATATTAAATTGAGTTTAATTGTGAGGATTTTAACATATGAACGGAAGAAACTTTCTTGAACTAATAAGTTGTTTTTGATGTTTATGCATATTTTTCATATTTGCTCAAAGCGTTAGTGTAGTTGCTTAGAATGAGTAGGTGCAATCAAGTTAGGTATGTTCTTTGACTTTACTCGCTTTGGACGAATTTTGGACACTTAGAGCAAGATGCATAGCTTAGAGCAAGAACTTACTCGCTTAGAGTGATAGAGATGATGTTATAAGAGTAGTCTTTATATCATCACTTAGAGCAAATTCTTAAATGCTCTAAGCAAATTACACTTGTTTAGAGCAAGAGTTGACCCACTTGAGGCAGCCAAATTGAGACTTCTAGGGGTTTTCTCTGTTTGAACTTGCTATGAGTGAATTATAGATGCTCAACGTGAGTTTCCGTCACTCAAAGCGAGTCTAAAGGCACTTTAAGTGCTAATTCAATTCAACCTTTGAAGTTGATTGGCTATATGTAGGGATGTGCAAAAAATCCAAATTGATCCGAACCGATCCGATCCATATTGAAAAATCTGATCCATTTTGAAAAAAAATCCGAACCGAACCACTTTATAAAATCGGTTTAGTTATCCGATCCATTTTTACAAAGTGGATCGGTTCGGTTCGGTTTGGTTTTCTAAAAAAACCGATCCATATATGAGTAAAAAAGTGGATAACTGCACCGCACCGAACCGATCCAATTTCAAAAAAACCGATCCATATTTTAAAAAAACCAAACAGATCCACTTTATAAAAAATGGATCGGTTAACCGATCAACTTTTATAAAACGGTTCGGTTCGGTTTGGATCGGTTTTTTCAAAAAACGGATCCATGAACACCCCTAGCTATATGTGATGTAATGAGAAATTAAGCTAGCTTACTGTATGTTAATTGATGAACATGAATTGAGTAGATAAATCTATTGCATGTGTCAATATAAGATTTGTTGCTCGTGTTATATGTGTTGATTTATGAAGATGATGGTTATGTGTATATAATGTTAGATGAAAGTGGGGTTGAAATGTATGTATGATGTATAAGTGTGTACCTATGTTGAAGATTTATGACGTATGTTATGAGTTGTATTGGTGGTGTAGATGTGATGAATTTACATGATGTTGTTGAGTTGCTGAGATGATGAATGTTGATAATACTTTAGTCATTTAGGCATGATATCATTGAACTATGTTGACCAACCTAGGACTGAAGGAGAAGATGTCTTCTAAAGTTGCATATCCCATTATGTGAATATTATGTTGTGATGGTCTGAGAGCTCAACTTTGTTGAAAATCCTTTTTGAGAAAATGACCATTGAAGGGAACAGTTGAGTCTCCTATAAGACTTTAGCTAGTACCGTGTGTGGGCAAGATCAAGAGACATGTGTATAAAGTAACCAACTGAGTAAAATACGAATTTGAAAACCTAGTTCCCGATCTAGTATTAGACGGGCGTAGTATTTAAAAGGTAGTTAGTGGACTAAACTCATAGGAGACTTAATTCAGCTAGCTAATACTATGGTAGGTTTATACACAATTATTTTATATTGACATTAGTACTATTTTTATTTGTTTAAGTGACGACATCCAAGAAATCGTTGTGTTGTGGATTGATATCCAATTTAATGTTGATCTAGTAAGCCAATAATATCACTTATGTTGTTAGTTCGATAGGGGTCTAGCTGCTTAAACTTCACCTTGTGTTGTAAGAGATATCTAAGTTAAAATATATAACAACGCATGTAATATTGTGTAGTATATGTTATGTTATTGGGATGAAAAATCTATGATGTTGATGTAATGAGTTTCAAGTCGATATTATGCTATAGTATATCGAGTTGTTAATGTTGCATTTATTGTATTATGATGTTGTATGTTGAATATGAAATTAAGATGAGATGATTTATTTATGCTACCCATATTTTGAGTCACATAAAAATATATTAAATAAGATGTTAATTAGTTTTTTTTTTTTAATCTAAATGGACTCTTATTTTATTTTATTTTTCTCTTATCTAAATACATCATTATTTTTCCACCTAAATTTTTACTATAAAAAAAACCAAAGAGAATTTTAAACTGTTATAATTTTAAAACCTTTTTTTTTTTTTTGCATAGATAATAAATTAATAACCTCCCAACAATAAAGTAAACTCGCCAATTTCATCATTAAAGTATAATTTTCTTTTTGATGGTCTTTAAAGTAAGAAAATTACATAATTAATCTTCCCGAGTATTAAGAATCAGAGTAACCAGTCAAATATACCGACTCAGAATTAAATTGATAAATATTAATAAATTAAAGGACATTTTATATAATTTATTTATTTTATGAACTAAATAACTTGGATAAGAAAGAGTAATACTTTATAATAGTTTATACTAAACCGATGGTATCTTAAACAAATATACAAGAGGATAATGTGCGCCACAGTGGCAACAGGAAACTCGACGTCGTTTTTATAGGAAAGCATCGTTGAGAAGCAAGAAGAGGGCATAGAATCGTCGTTTTGTTCTATCCGCTTGGTTTTAAGTCGTCGTTTAGAGAAAGAAGGCCAAAACTGTTCACGCAGATGAGATGACACTCCAACCTTCCAGTTAACACCAAAATACACTGACCTCAAAACTGCAAAATTATAGTTCCCAAATTACCCTCACTCACAGTAACCGATTCCGATTCGCTCCATGTCGTTCGCTTCCTCATTCTCGCTGCTCCGCCACCGCGCGGCGGCGTCTTCATCCGGCGTCCCTCTCTTGCGCCGCTTCCGCTTCCTCCCAACCGCTGCGAGACACCAAAACCCTAACAACCACCCCGCCGCACCGAGCAGAAACCTCCTGAAGGCGAAACAAACGCTGAAGGAGTTCTCCTCTCTCGCTCCGGTCCTCTCCCTGGAAGACGTTCCCTCTCTCACGGAGTCCCAGGCCATCGGCGTCGTGGCGGCGTCGCAGGCGAACTTCATGCGCGTCATCGTACCGGAAGACGAACCTTCCTCTTCCGGAACGTTCCGCGGCGTGGAGCTTCTGTGCGTGGTGAGGGCGCTGCTGAAGAAGATTAAGCGCAGGGTTATGGTGGGTGACAAGGTGCTGGTTGGTTCCATCGATTGGGTGGATCGCAGGGGCATGATTGAGAATGTGTTTAATCGGAGTTCGGAGATTCTTGACCCTCCCGTTGCTAATGTTGACCACTTGCTCGTGCTGTTCTCGCTCGAGCAGCCCAGGCCTGAGCCGTTTACACTCACCAGGTTTCTCGTCGAAGCGGAATCCACCGGGATTCCTCTCACGCTCGCGCTCAATAAGATGGAGCTTGTGGATAAAGAGGTTCACGTTATCTGCATTCTCTTTGTTTGATATGGGTTCTTAGTTGTTATACCAGGAAATGGTCATTAGTAGCGAAGCGAGCGAAGTCGCATTAGTCTATCAAATTAAAAAAAAATGTCAACTAAATCTTAAAATGTCACATTAGTCGCATCTTTAAGGATTTTGTTGTCCACCTACCATTCACATGCATATCACATTGATATGATATTGGGCATGATTTTCATTCTCATTATTTTACTTTTGAATTATTAGAGTTTAGTCACATTTAATATTTCTAGATCCTTGCATTGTCATTAACTTATATCAACTAACTACTTCTTGTGCAGTGCAGGTTTATACGTTTTCATATTAATATGATTTTGTTTTTTTTGAGTTTAAATATTTTCTATTTTATTTTTTTGTTATTATCCAAAAGACTTCTTTTCAATAGAGACTTTATGTATATTTGTAATTTCTTATTTCTTCTCTTGGTTCGGCATTGTGAAACTTTGTTTGCATTCCAACATATTTATTATCATTATTGACATTTTGGTCTATGAATATGTCAAATTATCACTTTATTTACATGTATATTTTAAAAAATCTGGACTTGTGTTATTGTCAATTTATACTTTAAGGACAACTTATTTGACATTTCTTAATTACAGAGACTAATATAACAATTTTTCTCAAATTTAGGGATCAAAATGACCGTGTAGAAGAATGTAAGAAAGTAAGAATATTAAATGAAATGAGTTGAGAGTTTCTTTGACAAGCTAAAAGCGATTTATGCACTTTAACTTTTTGGAGAAATTAGATGACACAACTTCTATAAAAGTTAAATGTGTAAGCTGATTTTAGCTTTCTAAAGAAGCTTAATTCATTTTATATTCTGATTTTCTGCTCTTGTGAATACTAGTTGAGAACTTTATCTAAAGAGCATAATAGGTTGTCTTTTGTGAATGGAAGGCCTAGCCATGTTTTTTTTATTTATTATTTTGTGAATTTGTGATTTAGCTGTGATTGTTTTCTGGTGTCAAGTAATTGGTTGCTTTTGGCTGTTGTTTCTTGTGTAGATCATTAGTTCGTGGAAGGCTAGGTTGCGCGGCTGGGGATATGAGCCAGTTTTTTGCAGCGTTGAATCTGGACATGGGCTTGATCTTCTTGCGTTCAAGTTGAGAGATCAAACGACAGTGATTGTGGGTCCTAGTGGAGTTGGGAAATCGAGTTTGATAAATTCCCTTAGAAGCAATCCTTCTGATGCTGCCGAAGGGGAGAATTGGTTTGAGCCTGTGGGTTTTGTTAGTTCTGTTCTTGTTTTTTTGGTAGTTTTTTATGTCTTCTCCGGTGAGTTTGATATTTGTATTACTTGTGGACGTGTTTTTCCAGATTTTGGGAAGCAAGTGGTTAGATGATCAGCGAGTTGGGGAGGTTTCCACAAGAAGTGGTAGAGGGAAACATACTACTCGCCATGTATCTCTGCTTCCATTATCTGGAGGGGGATTTCTTGCTGATACTCCTGGATTTAACCAGCCTAGTTTATTGAAAGTGACAAAGCAGTCTCTTGCACAGACTTTTCCTGAAGTTAGTAATAATTCTTTTGCATTCGAATGAATTCAGGGTTAACACAGTTTTTCCTTTTTTGATTGATGTTATATTCTTTTCCCCCTATTCAGATAAGGAAAATGCTTAGTGCCAATGAGACTGAGAAATGTTCATTTAACAATTGCTTGCATCTGGGTGAACCTGGGTGTGTTGTGAAGGGAGATTGGGAAAGATATTCATACTATTTTCAACTTCTTGATGAAATCAGAATCAGGGAGGAGTTCCAGCTGAGGACATTTGGAACTAAAAGAGAAGGCGATGTAAGGTAAGATGAGTTTTGTTGATTGAAAACAACGCTTCTCAGTTAATTGAAAAGTATCGTGCTTTTATTAAAAAGAGTTCATTTCTGGGATTTTTAATTCGTTCATAAAATGAGCATTCTGAAAAGTTTGTGATTATGAGGGTTTTATACATTTTTAAAAGCTGATTCTTATCCTTTTACATGTTAATGTAATGTATATAAATATGAATCTCCTAGCACACTTTTTAATTTATTTATGACAATTACCTTAGATGATGACATTCTAGCCCTTGAAAGAAGCTACTAAATTGCTTAAAACTTTCTCAACATGTAATCTCATTATCTATTGGCTTTCTTGCCCCTCAGTCTTTGCATTTAGTTCTTAACGATTATATGATGAATGATGGAGCATAAGCCATAACTCTATTGTCATTTATTTAACCGGGGAAATTATTGAATCAACTTCCACATCATTTTTTTGCAGGATTAAAATGGGAGACATGGGTGTTCAGCAAGCAGAACCACGGTTGGAACCTAAAAAGCACAGGAGACAATCTCGGAAGAGGATTAACCAGTCGATTTTAGATGAATTGGATGATGACGACAATTTGCTAGATGAGGAAAATGACCCCATTTTAAGGGCGCTTAGGAATGAAAACTCTTAGAAATATGTTAATCACCGGAGTACTCATTGTATATAGTTCCTTTCTGAGCTTTCACTTGTATCTAGGAGACAGCTTTATTCCTATAACTGGAGTTCATTTCTGTTTTGTTGCACGGTCATGTAGAGGTTCAATCATGTATAGTCTGTACAAATGTCACCGATGGACATTTTTGACATCTGGTGACTGAAAGGTTGATCCATGCTTATTGCTCATAACTGAATTACAAGCAACATTGACCCCTATTTTGTATGATTATCATTTTCGATTAGAACCGATGGTTTTGGAAGAGAATAACGGGCTTCGGGAGCTTGGAAGGGGGAATTTACAACCCAAGTTAACGATTGAAGACACAGGTGATTAAACGTAGCATAAACACTGGACATTCGTCGCTATGATAATGCGACACTGGAAATAATGTGTCGATACGCTCAAGATGCCTATAAAATAGCCACAGGTTTGTGGATTCATCAATTTCTCAAGGAGAGAAATTGTTAGCGAGTCCAGACACAGATTGATATTAAAGTGATGTAACTTATATATAGATTTTTTATTCTAAAGGAAAATTAGTAGTAATTTATTTTTCAATCGCGAAAGCTACCTAAAATTGTTTAACTCAAAACTAAACATGTAAACACTTGCTTAAAATTAAATTAGGTTAACAGATATTTTAACGTGATCCTAGGCGATCCAACAAGAATCCAAACACGGAATCATGTACGAAATCAGTGGCTACTCTGTCAAGAGAATGATTAAACTGACACACTAACCCGACCAACAATGACATGATAAGCAGAAAGGTAAATAAACCAAGATCAACTGTATCCAAAAAACAAGAGTAATGTTGAATTTATAATCCATATGGGAGAGAGGGTGAGAGAGAGACTCAAAAGAAAATGGATGTAAACGAATAAAAACCTCAAACAAACGGATATAATCCTTGCAGTCCAAAAAACATTGTAATATCCGGTGAAGGGGAAAGGGAGGTAAAGAAAGACTCAAAATCCTGTCAAAAGTATGGAACTTTTTAACTCAAGAAAATACTAGCACTAAGTTGCGTCAAAGAAACCTACTTCTTAACAGGTTTCTTCTTAGAATTTACATTCAGAGATGGTTGAGGCTTTGGATGCTTTTCCAACTCACTTGGATCCAACCACTTGAGAGGATGACGGTTGAAAAATGGCCAATTAGGGACAGTCACCAACGTGGCAAGAACCACACCAGCAGCATATATGAGGATCATCATTTGGAAAGAAGACATAATATATCCTGTTGCAAATGCAATCACAGAAAATGCAAGCAGCATTATCTGCATTATCTGCTCTGCTATCTTTTGCCCTTGCCAATCCATCTAATGAAAGCAAAAACATAAGGAAAAATACTCGGAAACCCTGTTAATCCAAACAATAATAACGAGAAGAAAAAAAGAAAAAATAAACAAAAAACTTAGCAGTGCTACAAGATGCACAGTATACTAGTAGTTGAGATTATACCATAAAACACAATCTTACATAAAATACGCAGATAACAATATTGAATTCATTCAAGGGTATCTTTCACAATAATAAACCAAGAAATTAAAGTGTACTAATACAAAATTTTTTTACATTCCATTCATCAACTACCAAGCAAAACATGAAGAAACTAGCCATAAGAATACACACAGAATTATCCAAACTTCCAAGTCATTCTCCAGAGCCCTGGACAAACGTCAAGCCTAATAATCAATCACAACTAATCTATGTCCTATGCCGGTGTCAGATACATAAAAGTGTGATATTGCAAAGAAGCAATCTATGTTCTATGTTTATTATAGAGCCACCAAGAACCAAAACATATTGAATGACAACAATATCCCACAAAAGTCTCGCAACAAATCTTGGATTAGATCTCAGTTTTATGGTAAAATTGTAATTGGCAATCACTACGCCCAACACTGAAACACTCATCATAAAAGCATACCCTAGCGAAATTTTAAGGTGAAAATTGATAAAATTAGACATGGATATAAGATGAATTTTGCAAAAACAAGACAGTTCTGTGAAGCATCGTGGCCTCCGTTTCCGTATATCGATGTTCAACATCACAGTGATTAAAATCCTATATAGTGTTTCTTTGAAACGGGGTTTCCGAAAATCGAGTAGTCGAATAAAAAAGGGGGGGAATTCACGAAATGGAGAAATTGCAGCTTAACAAACGAGCGTTTAACATTTTTTTTAGACATAAACAGATCACTTTTAGCAGCACGATAGTGTATGATGAATAAACAAACATGAAAAAAGTATAAAAAAAAAAAAAGTGTCATACCTTTGGAATTTGGAAGATGAAGCGTCGACCAGTCTGGGAAGAATGCAGAGAAAGACTTGGGAAAACCTACTGAGTCAAAGGCCAGAGAATTAGTACATATATATATTTGGGAAAGTTATTTTTCATATCGAGAATGTACTATTTGTAATATTTCAAACAGGTTCTTAGATTAGAAAAATAATGGTTAAAAATTTATTTTGATCCCTTATAATAATTGTTTGTTTTACTTTAGTCCTATTTTTATTTTTGGTCTCAATTTGGTCCCTCATAAGTTAATTGGTTTTAATTTGGGACTTCCGTCCAAATTATTTAAACGGAGTTAACTGTTGGCCACGTGGATGCCACGTAGATGCATACGTGGATCCCACGTGGACGCCAAATTTTGTGAAAACACCTGGAACCAGAACGGCCCGTTCTGAAACCAGAACGGGCCGTTTCTGGATGCACTCTTGGTGTGTTAATTTTGCATCTGAAATGGGTCGTTCTAGATGCAAAATGAACGCACCACCAGTACACCAGAACGGTCCCATCTAAAACCAGAACGGGCCGTTCTGGTTGCAGAACGGACCGTTCAGGATTCAGAACGGCCCATTCCAAGTCTGGGAATAAAATATTCTTTATTAATTTTATTAAAAAAATATAATAATTTTGAAAAATATTTTTTTATGGTAAAAATTTTAAAATTATTTATTTTTATAAAATACAATTGTCTTATAAATAGAGTAATAACTTTTTTTTTTTCTCTTTCTGTCTGAAGAAATATTTAAGTGTCACTTTATAATTTTTTGCAACTTATTTAAAATTAGAGGAATAAAATGATAAAAATTAATAGGATAAACATAATAAAATTATTAATTTATTTTCTTTTAGTGTCCTCTAAATTTTTACATTCATTTAAAACAAAAATATTTTATATGTTAATTTGAATTAATTTAACGAAGTATCATATGATTTTTAATTTTTTAAATTTTTTTATAAATTTGATCTATACATGAAAAACTTTTTAATTTAACAATTAAATTTTTAAAAATTTGATATAGAACATTAATTATTAAATAAAATAAATCTATCAATACTTACTCTTGAAGTAAGTAAATTTTTTCTTCATTAAAAATGAAGATAATTTTACCACAATATAAAAAACAATTAAACAATAAAATAAAATATATAAAAAATATTAATGTATTTATTATATTAGATATAACAACATAATTAAAATATAAATAATAATATATATTTTATAAAATTATTAATATTTTATATATAAAAAAAAGAATGAAAAAATTTTTAGTGGGGGTAAGTGCCCCCACTATGATTAACTTAGATCTGTCCCTGCATATGGTTGTGGTGAAATGTTAGTCCTGTGTATCCTCTTCCTTTACTTCAGGTTCTACCTCTTCAAAAACAAGTTGTTGTTGAGGTACATCATTAATGACTTCAAGAAAAAATACTATGTCATTTCATCTTTTACTGTATAGTGTCAATTTGGTAGTAAGTGGTTCACTCCAGTTTGAAATGAAATAAAATCTGCTACCATTGTCTTTAGTGATACATTGCATTGTCCTTAATAATATACTGTATAGTCTAACTGTTTAGCAATTGAAGTTATCAATTTCCATTGACAATATTACCAAATTCAGTGTTTGAAATGTTTTGTACCTTGGGTCTTTTTCCTTCCATGATTCACAATCGTGAACTATAATCATTGATCGTTTATGCTTAGCAGTCTGGAACCAGAATGTCCCGTTCTAGTTGCATTTTTAGTGTGTAAATTTTGCACCTAGAACGGGTCGTTCCGGATGCAAAATTAACACACCAAAAGTGTAACCAGAACGACCCGTTCTGGTTTCAAAACGGGCCGTTCTGGTTCCAGGTATTTTCAAAAAATTGGCATCCACGTGGCATCCACCTATGCATCTACGTGGCATCCACGTGACCACACAGTTAACTCCGTTTAAATAATTTGGACGGAAGTCCCAAATTGAAACCAATTAATTTACTAGGGACCAAATTGAGACCAATTAATTTATTAGGGACCAAATTGAGACAAAAAATAAAAGTGAGACTAAATTGAAACAAACAATTATTATAAGGGACCAAAATAAGTTTTTAGCCTTTAAAAAACCTTAAATGAAAAACAATTATTGTAGGTTAAATTATTAAGTGAATCCATGAGTTATTTTAAAATTTTAATGTTTCTAAATTATTTTTTATTGAATTCCTAAACTAAAAGGATAGGCCCAAAAATAGATTTTTGTGATTTTTTTTAATATCAACATAATCATATTCTTTCCATTAAAATAATATACCTAATACAAATAGAAATTTTATTATGAATATTCTTTGCATTAAACAAAATAAAATTTATAAATGAGCTACTAAATTACTTTCTTTTCTACTATATTGAATAATAATAGAATGAGAAAACCTTATAAATACTCTCTAATTAGATTAAAAATGATGTCACACTCATAAATATTTTTTTCATTATTATGAATTTGATCCACTATTATTTTACAATCTAATTCAGTAATCACATTATGAAATTTGTGACTTTGGAGTCAATTAAGAGTATGCAATATAACATTTGTTTCTCCCTCTTCTACTGATATATGACTTTGATAAAGACGGTTATTGCTTGCAAAAAATCACCTCTTTCATTTCTTAAACAAGTTCCAATTCATGTGATGCATTCTTCAATAAAAATAAAATAAAATAAAGCTGCATTACAATTACACTTCAATTTGCTTAATGGAGAGGAATCTACATATTTAAAGAGGGTCCATAACTTGTGCAATAGCTACTTGATGCTCTTCAACATTCAAAATTTTATTAGCATTTAATCAATCTACAAGAGCAAAATTTGTTTTATTCAGCATTATATCCACTTGTTTATGCTCTATATTCCACACCATTTTATTACTTCTTCGCTAAATACTCTACATAGTCACAACCAAAAGTTGAAATTGATCCTTTAGTTATAATTCATTTAATTAAAAAAAAAAAAACTTTAAATGATTCCCAGTTCAACATAACATAATCAATTTGTGACCATAATCCACATCTCTATTAGACTTTAAAGTTTTGTAAACATTATCAAACTATGCCAACAATGTTTTACATCATCAAAACAAAATATGCAAATAGGACAAGATGTACCTCTATTTTACAATTTGTTACGTGTCAATAAAACATCTATACAATCCTTCAAAATAAATATCTTCACTTTAGGAGGCACTTAAAGCTTTCAAATTGTATTTCAATCACTATTAACCTTCATCTCTTCATGATTAGTAATCTGATTCATATAGGTCTTATAATCATATTTCATTATATATATCTCAATTAGTGACAAATTTCAAATCAGTTTATCATTTAAATGCATGAGAACTGTAGACATTTGTTGAATTAAATCTACCACAGAAGAAAGTACTAACAAGTAAACAAAGCATAAGTCTCATTTATTAAAATCTTGAATCAACAATTCTTTAACAAGTTGTGACAAACTTGAATGTGGAGGTAAATCAATATATCTAAATGTCATACCTTTTGATTAAGATTCCTTCCACATATTAATTTCTGAATTTTCACCAATCCTCCACCTCAAATCTAAAAAATAATAATGTATATCAATTTTTAAAATATTATAATTTCAATTGAAAAAAGAATAATATTTATCAAAATAAAAAAATATACCTGATGTAAAAAAAATATATTTATACATTACACGAGTGTAATTTAATTTTTAATCGTCAGAATTTTAAATTATGTCCATAAAAAATTAAAAAACAACATGAAGATTTCACAGGTAAAGAACTAAAAAATAAATAAATTAAACTACTTTTATTTTAGGTTAAATACCTATTTTGGTCCCTTATAATTTTTTTTTGTTTCAATGTAGTCCCACTTTTATTTTTGGTTTCAATTTGGTCCCAAACTAATTAATTGGTTTCAATTTAGTCCCAAATTAATTAATTGATTTCAATGTGAGACTTTCTGTCCAAATTATTTAAACGGAGTTAACTTTTGGGCACGTGGATGCCACGTAGATGTATACGTGGATGCCACGTGGATGACATTTTTTTTAAAACACCTGGACCCAGAACAGCCTGTTCTGAAACCGGAACGGGCCGTTCTGGGTGCACTTTTGGTGTGTTAATTTTGCATCCGGAAC